AACCTCTCTTTTAATACTGGCTTCACTGCTTCAGGTAAATATTGTTCAACATTATAAAAATATAATAATAACAACAAAAACAGAAAAGATGTGTTATGTATTTTAACCTATCTTCGTTTTATTTCCAGATTCAGTATATACAGGCACAAGGTATTGTTTTTTTCAGTTCACTATTTTTAGGAAAATGTAAAAGTTAATCTACTGACGTTTAAACGTGTCTGATAGACTAAGATCACTTTATAGCCATATATAATAAAATGTGTGTATAGATAGGCCTACATACATATAGGCTACATAATGCAGAAGTATTATATGTATAATAGTAATCTGTAATAGGCCTATATATCTAATAATAACTGCAGAAATTGTATTGTTTTAAAATGCAACAAAGTAATTTAATGGTCTGTTTATAGACGAATTGCGTTTTTGTTTTTTTAACTTTTTTTAGATTGTTCAATCACATCGATAACATCTCCATCAGCGACATCCCTGAATGTGAAATGGAAAAGATACAATTCAGCAACGAATTATTTTGTGGACGTGCGGACAAACGGGGCCATCTCCACCCCTGTTGTAGTAACGGTGGCGCCGACCAGCACCGAACGGCTGGTACAGGGGCTGAGACCGGGTACCCTTTACTCAGTGACTTTGAAAGTCTTTCATTTCTACAGTGTCCTGTGCTCTTCGTCGCCACAAACAGCCATAACAGGTAAATTTAAATTGTGACACAGCAAAGCTACTGTTTCATATTTTTTCATGTACTTCATACCCATATAATTTGTAATAAGTCTTAGCATATATATATAAATATACACACAAACACACGTACGGTACATCATTGGGTTTTTTTCCTCAATATTCAGTCCCCACGGCTTCTGAGATGACTTCTTGCAAATCGCTAACAAGTACCACAATCACTAGCATCTGGACTGCTGTGCCGTCAGCAAGGTTATATTACCTGATACTGGAAAACACAGGAAGCCATATATTTCTTAACAACTCATTTACGAGTGTAAGCGGATCAGTGGACAACCTTCAGCCAGCAACACTTTACAACTGCTCGGTGTACGCCTTAAACGCCGGGGGCTTGGGGGCACGCAGCACGGTGAAAGCTGTAACCACATGTAAGTACCCTGTTTCCTCCAAAAAATGAAGTAGTTTATGCACATTTTGAATAGATATATATATCATTAATATATGACTACATGTATGGCAACCAAATCTCTGACAATTAAAGTCCCAGAAGCAGTTCTGCCAAAGTATCATTAAATCTAAAGAAAAATGTATCACTTATGGGATGTTTACAAAGCATTCTATTGTCCTATTATATCTCATCCTAATATACTGTTTGACAACTGTTATTTGTCTACCCTTAGTGACACAGCCACCAACAGGCATCACTGCCCAGTCGATCAATTCCAGCACGACCCGGGTCGGCTGGCTTAGGGTGAACAAGGTGCTGACCTACCGAGTAACGGTGTGGGACCCAGACAATCCGAGTATCCCTCTGATGGTCCTTAACGCCACCACTAACTCCATAGACATCAAGAATCTGCCCCCGTGCTCTGTGTTCACAATTGGGGTATCATCTATCAACGAATTTTCGGAGGTTGGAGAGCCCGCTAACACCACTTTCAGAAGAACTGGTAAGTAATGTCACCGGTTGACGTTGAAGGCCATGTCATTAGTTTGACAATGTGTTACAAACGTTAAATGGCTAAGTTCAAACAAGAGTGATTTATTTTGTATACACCTTTGATTTGAAAAGCAAATGTAGAGACGTTTACCACAGACCTATGGTTAAAATGAACACTTTAAGGTACAGTATAAACACTAGATGTGTGTTTCAAAAAGGCATCTTCTACTGCTAATTAGGTGAAAACAGCAGTGCTTTTTCCTTTCAGACATGCCTTCAGTGACATCCATTTCAGTGGACTACAGATGTGCAAGTAGGACCGTGTTGGTGACGTGGGGGCTGGTGTCGGGGGCCAAATCATATAGGGCCTCAATCACCAGCCCAGGCGATCTGCCCCTGAACTGCACCTCGCAATTCGGAAGCTGTGAGATCTCAGAACTGGCCTGTGGGAAGATGTATAGGGCTTATGTCACGACTGTGTCAGGCAGCTGCGAGAGCACTTCCCAAACATCCACCTCCTTTGAGACAGGTGTGGCTGCTTTTTCACATAGCCTTCTAGTCATCCAATCCTCAAAATGACCTTCCTATGGCCTTTCCCATTATGCTTTCTGTGTAATTTCTACCGCACGCTACCTTTTACACCCATGTATTGACATACACGATTTTCAAAGAACATGGAAAATGTCCAAGCTGAGCTTATAGTTTATAGAGAACAGTGGCCACCATAAAGCTTGTCTTAGGAATCAGAAAGGTATGCTTGAAAGATGACAAACACTGCAGAAAAACCAACCCTTTAACTTCTTTTTCAGTGCCCTGCCCGCCCGTGGACCTGGTGCTCTTCCGCGAATGCTCTAGCAACACGATTGTGTTCTCTTGGTCGGCAACGAATAACACAGCCCACTATGTAGCCACATCAGTGGACTCCACGGGCTATTCGACAGAGTGTATAACCACTGACACCTCCTGCTTCTTCACCACAATTATCTGCAGTGAAATGTACGAGTTCACCGTGTATTCCTATACCGGGCAGTGTAACAGTGAACTTAGCCTGCCAGTAAACATCCAGGCAGGTAAGACTGTCCTCCGTATATAACGATGTACTTTATGAAGCAGACATAATGTTTTATGAGTAATTCAGGCACAAAAATAGTATGGTGCAAACAAACCGTATGGTTTAAATGATACTAGTGCTTCTCAAATGCATCATTAATGATCCAATATTGCGTCTGTTCATCAGCCTCCTTCTTTTGAGCTCAGCTCTCGACTCCATGCCATCTCTGATCGCAGCTGTCGACTCTCTTTCCACCTCACTCTGAATGAAACACCACGAAGTAGATTGTTGTTGTTTATGTCTGTAATATTTTTGCATTATGTATACTCATATAGCGAATAAAAATTGAAAACTGACAAAATTCATTACCTTTGAAGGATGTGGCTCTATGATACATGAAAAATGCAGTAAACACTTTGCAGTTAAACTTTTAACATGATTCTTGGCTGCCTCTCAGCCCCCTGCGAGCCGACGAATCTGATGGCTGTCGCCGATTGCCATTCCAACACACTGATCGCCACGTGGGACGAGGCTCCGGGTGCCTTGTTCTACACAGTGGAAGCCATCGGCAACTTTGGGGACTACTATAGCTGCAACACGTCCACGACCAGCTGCCCCTTGGAGGACGTGCTATGTGGGCAGAGCCTGAGTGTCTGGATCATCGCCTCTGACCATGACTGCACCACCAATCGAGTGCTGGGGGACACGGCCGAGACAAGTACGCCAGTGCTAGCCGCCGAGGGTGGAGCTGACACCCCACCTGCTGGCTTTCATCCCATCTCACCTCTTAATTAATTAAAGATGTTATCGGAACAGTGGGTTGCCTGTCCCCCTGTCATGGATGCTTCAGAACATGGAGCTGCGACTGTTTCCATTGGCACATATGCGTTTACATCTGTCTGTACCTAATTCTATTTCAGTGCCTTGCCTGCCCCAAAACATATCTCTAGAGGATGACTGCAGCTCCGACTCCATCTTGCTGGAGTGGGATTACTCCGCCGGTGCTGTGTCATACACTGCGTCGGCCACGCATGCGGACGGTACCGAGAGCAGCTGCAACAGCATGGGCACTGGCTGCAGGGTGCAGGGGCTACGCTGCGGGGAGACATACTTTGTCTCTCTCCTTGTCGCCAACCTTAAGTGCAACATCACAGAGAACCTGCAGACGATGGTGAATACAGGTAACCCCCCACCACCACCACCACTACCTGTTCTCCACAAGTGTCGTTCCCAGGAGTTCCGACTGGGATGGTTTTTTTTCCCTTCTTCATTAAATCTTGAGTGAAATCACTGCTGACAGTTGATCTCACTCTGCTGTTTCTTACAGCGCCATGTCCGCCATACCAAGTGAATGCTTCCCTGGACTGCTCTGGGAACCGTGCCCTTATCTCATGGTGGAACACCCAGAAGAATGGCTCTCACACAGTCACAATCAAGGATCAAAATGCAGGGCAGTTCAACTGTAGTTCCACTACTGATAGGTGCATCATCCCTGACCTTCAGTGTGGGCAAATGTACACAGTCAGTGTCACCTACTACAACGGCAGATGTTACAGCTTGCCTTCCAGGGCTGTCCAGATGAATTCCGGTACTACTTACATTCTACTTACGAACTTCATTTTAGTGTTTTCCGCCGGTAGATGTGTCATTAAGATAGTACCCGATACCTTGATATATTCTAGGTGTTAAAAAAGTATTGTGGTGAACAAAAAGTAACCAGCAATCAAAATAAATTGCAATCAGCACTGCTGGCTACATTGCAGAGTAGACCCTTTCTTTCAGCCAAAAATAGTCTCAAGAATTACCTGGTTATATTAACATAAGGTGAATAATATACTCACTAGCCACTTTATTAAGAACACCTGAGCACCTACTTGTTCATGTAAATATCTAAACAGCCAATAACGTGGAGAAATCCAGGCATTTAGTGACTTCTCGTCGGGCAGTCAGAGGGTGAAGCAATACTTGGAGTCTAAGGACAAAGTCAGTAAGGAAATGTTGGACTTCTAAGTAAATCGAGAAGATCCCGTGCCTGCCAGATGCACTGAAGTCGAGAGGCAAGATTCCTGATTACAGCTGGTAAGGGGCGCGGCCCCAGATAAGATCCATTGGTGAATTAAGGCTGAGGTAGGATGTGGCTTTCCGGAGCAAGTGGGCTTTGCAGATGGGAATTCCCTGGGGGATGTAGTTGGTGGGCTTCATACGTAATATCAACTAGGCTGCTCTGCATTGGTGTAAGAAAAAAAACAACAATGTTAATGGTCTGAGTTGGACAGAACCCCTGTTGAGTATTGATATGGTATGTCCACAGCGCCCTGTGTGCCCACTAATGTGACTGCAGTGCGAAACTGCCAGCAGAGCTCAGTCATGCTGAGCTGGGCAGCCAGCCAAGGAGCCAGAAATTATACTGCCACTGCCCTGAGCAACAGTGGACACAGGGTGGACTGCATCTCTAACAACACAACCTGCAACATGGTCGGCCTGCGCTGCAGTCAGAACTACAGCGTGGGAGTGACGGCTGTGGGTGACAGCTGCAGCAGCCTTTCAAGCCAGGCAGTCACAGTATTGGCAGGTAAGAGTGAGGGCCTGGTACTATAGGGCGTGGCGAGGGGTACGAAGGGGGTTGTGGAAAAACAGTTGTCCTAGTGCGACCATATACTCTTCC